GTGCTGTTGTGTGTGATTTAAACAAGATGTTCCTCAGGCTTAGGCATAAGTGAATAAATGGCGCTTGACATTTTAGAGAAGCTCATGTTTGCTAAAAACATTTCTTGTTCCAGCAGACTCACCCTGGACATTTATTCACTTAGTTCCTCTGCATGTTTTCTCCTGCCCCCCTTCATCTCACCTCGGTATTATAATGCTTCTTGCGTTCAGAGATTTTACTACACGTGTGGGCTCAATCTTTCTTGATCCCATCTCAGGTTCCTTCAGAGTTTGCAGATATTGTCTTCTAACTGAGCTCTCAGTGTATCTGTGTTTATCTCCTGTTAAGTAGGAAACAAAGCCATGAGGAAGAGCTGGGTGTGGTTGGTGGCATCTCTCCCATTCAGACATGGCTCCCATTTTTCTATTCAGAAGACCGGTGTCTCGTGTGTTTTCAGGATCAGGGTTTCTTTCCTGTTCTGTGACCCCACTGTGTGATGGAAATGGTTGATATTCAGTGTTTACTACTCAGATGTAGATTACAAGGTCATGATAAGGGAGAGAAGCCAGAGGATTGGCTTGTCTTGTCTTGTCTGGAGGTGTCATGGATAAAAAGTAATTCCTAGAGTTGGGTAGGAATCATTTCCCAGCTACAGCCTAACATCTGGGCTCTTTCCACAGTAAGGGACCACTGGAGGTTGTATTGCTTAAAAGTGTGGCTTTATATCCAGAACGACACCATGGTTCTTCCAAAAAGGTTAATGAGGGCTGGTCTGTTCAGCTTCTGATGGGCTAAGATGTCCTCCAGGATTGCTTATTCCTTCAGGAGAGAGGAAGGACTGCAGCAATGTTGGGGGAGACTTGGATAGAAACCTTGCAAAATCAAGCTTGAATTTTAAGGTTGGAAGGAATCCTCTATTTAATTCTTTCTCAAACTACCAGGAACTGGACGTCAAGCGGGAACGAGCAGCCTTTAAAAATGAGAGTTACAGGTTCCTGCTTTACGATGGTGATTTGGCTAGTTTGCTATCTCCCAAGCAGGCCATAAAGCACGTTCAACAAGTATTACATGAGCTATTTTGATGCTGGAACTGATAGATGTACTCCAGACTCGCTGAGTAGCCCGGTTGGCTCACATCCTGCTGCATAGGTGGCCGCTATTTACCACTCGATGGAGCCCTCTTTGCTCACCCCACACGCACAAACCAGCTTGAAACGTGGTTTTGCAATTCACCTGCTGCTTCAGATAAATCCTTCACCAGCGTTTGCATCCAGTGTTCCTCCTACAGAAAATTTAAACAGCCCTGCATATAAAAACCAGCTGTTAGCACTTTGGCACATATCAATCCTTCTCTTCTCCAAAAGGGGATTGCTTCCAAACAGACATAGTTTGGATTTAATTTCTTTTTCTTGCTCAAAGTTTGGCTGCTTAGATGTCCTCTGTTTTCCATGGGCAGATGAAGGTGCCTCAGTGGAGCTAATATTACTTGTTAATCTTTGTGGCATTCAGCGGAGCACGGAGAAATGGAAAATTCTTTGCAAAGTTTTTGTTCTTCGAGAGAACTGAGGAGATTTGGAACTGCTGACTGCTCAGCCAGCAGCAGACCGAGAGTTCTGCTTTTCATGGAGGAAAAAATATGCATGTTTCTGTGTCAATCTAGATCTGGCTTTTTTACCTGTCTTTGATTCGGTATCATTACCTCCCTTCCTGGGTTCACCTAGGTTGCATCTAAGACCATTTGGGTCTAATCTAACACTGGCCCAGGTTGCCCAGACAGGTGGGAGATGCCCCATCCCTGGAAACATTCAAGGTTGGGTTGGATGGGGTTCTGAGCAACCTGATCTAGTTGAAGGTGTCCCTGTTTACAGCAGGGAGATTGGACTAGTTGGCTTTTAATGGTCCCTTCCAACCAAAACCATTCTAGGATTCTGTGATTCCATGATAATCTGCCCCTGGTTGTGTTCAACTGTTGGCTCAAAGCACAGAAAAGAGTTGAAGGAGAGAAACCATCTTAACAGTGACACTTCTGGCAGCATGGGTGGGAGTAGAATGGCTGAGTATCTAGAGATATGCTTAGGTGCTCGCTGGGAGAGGGTTACATTTATGGTTCGGCCCAACTTCAGGCTGAACGCATCCAACCCATCTTTGTTCTGCCAGCTCTTCGCACCAGAAGTCCATGGCAGGAGAACTGCTCACTGTGTTGGTCATCTTCTTTCCTGCTTCATGAGCAAAACGGTTCTGTGTAATTTGACATCCTGCATGTGACCAACATAGGAGATGCCAACATCCCAACATCCCTTGCTTCACCCTTTGCCCATAAACAGCCCAGCGTAGTGAGCCTGTTACCCAAGGTGCCTCAGAACGTGATGGTGCAAAAAGTCACATTTTCTCTGGCTTGTGTGGGACCTGGGAGGAAAGCAGCTGTGTGGAACCAGCAATGAAGGATGGTGGCAGTTGGCATCAACTGGTTTAATCCACAGTTTGTTTGTGGAGCACAGGAGGGCCCCAGTCTCATGTAGGGCTGCATGAAGCAAGAGTGGCCACTAACTTGGGCCTTGTGTATAACAAAAATTGAGTGCTTAGTTGTGGACTCTGGAACCATTTGGTTTTGGAAGGGCTAAACGAGAGGGGAAAGGTTACAGGAGGAATGAATTCCCAAGAGTGGTTGGAAGTACTGCGCAGTTTAGCCGGTGGAGATGACATTCTGCAAAGGTCTCCACCAGTTAGGTTTGGCTGTGATTATATTTCACGCTCACGAGGAGCAGCATTTGCTCGTGCCCAGTTTACAGCCTTTTTCTCTGGGCCAGGGCAGGGCTCCAAGGAACCACCCCACATTGTTTGTGCTGTGCGGGATGAAGGCATGGCACAGCTGTGAATGCAGCGAGGAGCTCCCCCGTGACACCGATACCGTGAGCGTGTCGGGTGGCATGAGAGCATCCTTCAAAATAGCCACTGTCACCACAGTCAAACAACGGAGCCAGAAGGCGCGCGGTGCTTCGGGACTAGGGAGAGACAAAAGGGTGATTCGCCCAGTTTGCCTTTTGCCACTGCTTTATTTTTGTTCTGCAATTTTCTGCTGTATCCTCCAGCTGACGTTTAGGGCCACGGCCAGAGAGATGCCATGCCCCCTGTTATTCCAGTGACATTTAATGCCAACACTCAGTCTTAATGTGAGATTAAGACTCAAACTTACTGAGCTTGATTGTCTGAGTAACTGTTATCCACATGGTCATTCATTTACCAGTTTGTACTGGGTCTGAAGTCACCCATGTTGTGCTTGGAAAGAATTGAGGCCAGGACACCTAGAGGTGCAGTGTGCTCTGTTCCTCTCCATTCAAATGAAAGAAAGCCTGGCTGAAAGCAAAGATTTGGATTATACCCCACATATCTCTAGCCAGATCCAGAGTTCAGGTTAGAACCTGTGGGTGACATCTGCTTGTGTGTAAGCAATGGGAATGGGATGGGAGTCAGACCTTCTGGGGCATCACACTAAAGTGGTAGTGCAGACATCTCCCTGGGATGAGTGTGAGGAGCTCTGTAAGGGTGAACACCTTCTGCAAGGTGGTCATTCTCTCTCCTGGATGTTATCTGATGCTGATGTTGAAGACGTTGAGCAACCTGGTCTAGTGGGAGGTATCCCTGCCCATGACAGGAGGGTTGGAAGTCAATGATCTTCAGGGTGCCCCTGAAGGGTTTTTAAAGGCTCTGAGTCCCATTCTGAGGAAAAGACACAGAAGAACCATTTCATGAGAATCAATAAAGGTTTCTTTTTATTTTAATTCCCTTTTACATACACCTGTGGTTTATCATTTTCCGCTTGTTACTTTGGTCCATACAGAAAGCAGAAGTGGAGGAATGTAAACCAAATGCCTGCCTGACGACACACACAAGGCAATGTCTCCGCAATGTCCCCATAGAAAGAAATCACAGTTTCGTCCTTTAGTTTTTCAGTTTTGTCCCTCTTCTGAGGTAAAACAAGGCCTTAAAAACCACTTCTGTGAAAGCGCTCATGTCAGAGGGGGTAGAACGCACCCCATCTCCTTTGCCTCCTCCTCAGACTAGAAAAAAAGGAGCTAATATCTTAAAAACAGACTCCCTGGACAGAGCCTGGCAGACCTCTGGGAATGGCTAAGTCCTTTTGCTAATGCCCAGACCCCATCACTTCTGGTGACCACCGTGGCTGGGTCACCCTGAAGTTGCTGAGATGAAGCAATGAGTTTTAGCAGCAGATCTGTCTCTTCGTGCAGGCCCCAGCTCATGCAGATGTCAAGACATCAACATAGCGTTTCTGAACCCGGGGATGGGCCATGGGGATGGGTTTGGGTGACGGTGCTTGGCTACTCCTGTCCTTCCTCTTCTGCCACCAGCTGGTTTCCCTCTCCCGCCAGCTCTACCTCATACAACCTGTCCTTTAAAACATTCCACCTCTAACAACAAATGGCTTCATTTTCATCCTTCCCTGCAGCTCTCAAGGAAGAATGATTAATTTTGACAGAGGAAAATAAAAAGGTAAAAGCTTGGCCTGGTAAGAAGCACCCAACTCTATATTTAGAAGGGCTCATGCCTGTCGTAATGCTCTGGTTTAAATAGATGCTGCTTCTCTGGTGAAGTCATTGTTTTGTCTTCTGTTGTAGGCACCTGAGGTCTGCCTATTTGGAGAACACTCTTCGTTTAAGCTTGTTTTAAGCATCTTTCAAGTGGATATTGTATCTCTATCTCAGAGGATGTAGGCCCAGGCATTTTGGAAACCCAGTGCACGCTTATCCCGTCTATCTCAAACATTTTAATCCTGTGTCTTTTTCTAGCCAAATATCTACCACATCCTAAATCCCCTCATGTAGAAGCTGACACCCATACAAAAGTCTGATGTTGTCACTTGGGAAGCATTTCAGGAGAGAAGACTGCCAATCCTCTACCTCTTGATCTCTGCTTTCTGTTTTTTAATTGCTCTAAAGAAAAAGGTCACCCTAAAATATGGTTGGCAAGTAAGGTTTTGGGGATGGCGAGGTAATTTTCTAGGTTTTTTTTTTTTTTCTCGTTCAGAATTTATGGGTGAAACCCACTCCATGGAAATCAACAGACATTTTGGTGTCGATTTTCACGGGGTCAGGATTTTAAGCCCAAATTCATGCCAGCACATCTGTGCTATTGCACACCACATTGCTAGCCCAGACTCATTAACCCTCAGTCTGAGGTAGACAACCAAACACCATCAAATTCCTTAGTTAATGTTCCAGGGAAACAATTGCTACGGTCACAGGGAGAAGTTACTTTGTGGGACCCAGGAAAAATGGGTCTGAATTCCAGGTTCTCATGTTGAGGTTGTCCTAATGTACCCCTTTTTTTTCAGGTGAAAAAAGAGAAGGGCGAAGTGCCAATGAGGGTGAAAGAAGAAGAGAAAATTTTACTGACTTTGTTACGTGCCCCCCATTTGCTCTCTCAAGTCATCCCTTGTTGAGGAGAAAGTGTAATTGTGCAATAGAGTCTACCTCTGTCAGATCTGTGCTGAATAGAGAGGTCTGCCCGAAAGGAAACCAGATTTATAAGACTCCTTAATTACTTATGATCATCTGGGTCAGCTCTTCCATGACTTTTTCTTTTGTTCCTGGCCCCTGCCAGATGCTGAGCTGATTTCCAGCCCTGCCCTGCCTCCCTGGAGTCTTTGCAAATCCGTTCTGAATTAGGACCAAGTTTGTTGTACTCTATTCTTGCAAATGCTGCCTTTGGCTCCCTTGCAAAGCAGCATCGCTGCCCGTCGGTACCGAATGCCACCACGAGATGTGGTCAGAGAGGGGATGGCCCCAGAAGGGTGCAGGAATTACAAAATGCCACAGATTCAAAGGCAGTTCAAGAGACAGTTCTGCAAGTGTGCCCCGAAGCAGCACCAACCTAGAAAAGGATGCAGAAACCACGTGAGCAGATCAGAATATTAAACTTGTATTAAACAAGAATATTTAAATAGCAGTGTGCCATCTCTAACCCCAAGTCCTCTGAAGCCAGCGGAAAGATGTGGTGTGAGCTTTGCAGATCATACAGAATGGCTGAAGATCTTCTATGAGCAAAACACGAGCGAGTTCAGGTGGAGGATGAACTGTGCCAAGGTTTGCAGACCTTTTCCTGGTTCGGGGGAAAGATTTCAGAGGAACCTTATTTGATATTTCTTTTAGGCTGTGCCAAGGTTTGCAGACCTTTCCCTGGTCCGTGGGAAAGGTTTCAGAGGAACCTTATTTGATATTTCTTTTAATGCTCCCCTGTGACATTCCTTTCTCACTTGCCTCCCAAGTCCTGACAAAATGTTGACATTATCTTGAACTTTGTATACTGCGGGGCTAGCTTGAACCTGGAAGGCAGCATGAAGACTTGAAGGATCTGAGTTCATATGCAAATAGAATAGAAAAGAAAAGAAAGAAGGGGTGAAGAAAAATCCCTACCAATTGAAACAGCTGAGTGTGGCTCAGGAACTGACAAAACTGGATTGTTTTCTGTGACAGCTGATGCCTTGGGTGTCCTTTTATTTAATCCCATACAACAAGCACGGTCTTTAATTCTCAGCAGAGTATTTCTGTAGCTAGAGTTGGAAGCTTTATTTTAATTCCATTATGCAAATTGTACATGAGTCCTGAACTGTGGTCTAGATTCAGATCTGTTTTGCCTTGGCATTAGACCGAGTTAACTTGATTAACTTCAGTGGAGTAGCTCCTGCCTTCTGCCAACGAATATAAAGTCAACATCAGGTCTGTTTCTAACTGTCCTGCCCCAGAGACAGGCTTTGACTGACTCTGTCCACTCTTTATAGCTCTTCTGTCCACCACAGAACTCTGTTGGCTCAGGAGAAGCCAGACACTGCACAGAAACCATCAGAACACTCAACAGAACCTGATGAACTAAAAAAAAAGATAACTTTTACATACTATTTTATCATTTATAACCCTTTTTAAATGTGGCGTAAAGACAGACAGCCTTTTTCTTGCTCTCTGTGCCTTTTTCTTATAAATCCATGTAGAATGAAAGACTGTTTTGGCAGAGCAACCTTCTACCTGTGCTCTGAGCCCAGTCTGATGGGTGCGATGAGACTATAAGACTGTGCAGCTTATCTCAACAAATCATGTTTGCATCCTGATGCTCTGGATTGGTTTTGAAACAGAGCTGAGATTGGCTTCTAGCCATGAGAGAAAAGCCAGCTGAAATAGAAGATTAAATGCTTAACCAAGTTCTTTAAATAAGTTTTTGGGGCTTGCTTTGTAGGATCAGTTTGGAAAAAAGGAATGAAGTGTGGAGGAGGACTCCAACACACCTGAATTTGGGATCAATATAGAGGGTAAGGTTGTCCATCCTCCTGGTGTCCATTTTGTGGGCTTCTCTACCTGCTAGGGACAAGCAGCCTCAAAGATCTAAAGTGGTTGCTGGTCAACGACTCAGCCTTCACCTACAGGTGAAGTAGGTACATGGGAATCTTCTACCCATGGTTGCTGGTCACTACAGGTGAAGTAGGTACATGGGAATCTTCTACCATGGCCAAAAGGTCTTATCTCAGTCCCAGCTTCAGCTCCTGGGCTCTCAGTAGAAGATACCTGCTCTAAAATCTCCTAAACCACCTACAGACCACAGAGCAGCCGGTGAAGATGTCTATTAGCATTGAGTAAAGCAGCACCCTGATTAGGACACCCTTTGCCTCTTACAAGGCTTGATATAGAGACAGCAAATTAAAATGAGGTTGACCACTAAATAAAGCAATATTTCTGTTTCAGCACAAGATGGCTTTACATCTCTGAGCTTTAAAGGACCAGTATCTGGTCATAGGCCGAGGTGGATTCTGAGCTGCATGTCCATGTTTCTATCTCGATCCCAACTCATTCACAGTGGCCTGGGGGAGATTTCCTACGGAGACGCCAAGGAGCACATGGAAACATCAAGGAGACCAGATTTCTGGCTCAAACTTTCTGGCCAACCGAATGTTATTTGGGGAAAAAGAAAAAAAAATGACAACCTGCATTTTTTTTTTCCTTTTCTTTTCCCTTTTATTTTTCCTTAATAAAACCAAATTCAATCTGCATTTCCTGGATTCTCCAGCTGATCATGTGTCTTTGCAACAACTCACCTCTGCTTTCTTTTTCTCTCCTACCTTTAGCTAAGAGCTGAGCTTGAGTTTTGATTTTATGAGAGCCCACAAAAATAGTTTGGGTGGAGCAGGATAAGCCCAATAATTTTTATGCAGATGGCAGGATTTGCTGCCTCAAAACAAAATGTTCCTTTGGGCCAACTGTATTGGCTGTCCAGCAGGTTCAGCCTTTCACTTCCATGGGCAAAACCAGGAGAATTGCCTTCCAATGAATGTCAACAGAGATAGACATGCTCTTTATTTTACTTTACAGCTTATGAACCATTATGTTTTCCAGGCAAATCCAGACAGCCATGGCCAATCATGATGGAAATTTATTTATAGGGTCTTTCACAAACTCATTTCCTGTACAATTTAATATTTTTTCTCATTTCAAGACACCCTAGAGGAATGAGATATAAAATCTGTCTGAAGAATCACACTGGATGCTTGAAAAGCTCTGTAGCTGGCCAGGGATATCATATATGTCTTCTGTTTACTCTGTGGAACATGGCAACCCATCAGAAGTAGCAGCAAAATAATAATAATAAAATCAAACAACAAACCTGTTCCAGCATGAAGCTTGTTGAAAAAAGCCAATTCTCCTAGACCTGCCTGAGGGTGCAACGTGATCTTTTCTCTAGCAGATGCTGTCAGCAGGGAAGTGACATGGTGAAGACCCAGAATAACCTGCTCATGGCCTTAAAGGCAAATCTTTCTCAGCTGCTGAGCAGTTTACAACCTGCAGTCATCGATGCAACACCAATTTGTGACACAGGATGTAGACCCTCCAAGTTTGGAAAGTACTGCCACAGATACTTTTTTTTTTTTGCTTCCTGTTACAGCTAAAATGTCGCCAAATTCAGATAAGGTCATAAAGAGAGGATGTGAACCATGTTACTGCTGCATAACTTTCTGTGACAAGAGCACAGTTTACTCTTCAGCCAACTCATGTGCACCAACAGGTGGAAAAACCATGTGCACCAGTAAGAAGCAATAATAAGACTTCACAGGTTCATACAACCTCTTGTAAAGGTCAACTCTTCAAGTACTTTCTCTCATTTCATGCAGTCCTATCTCAGATGAAAAAGTCACTGACCATAGTGAGAGATTCAGTTGAGTTAAAGGATCACTCTTCTCATCATCAGTAACTCTACTTGAAGCTTTCAATGAATTCTAGGTGGAAAGTGTGCAGAAAAATCAGCCAGTGAAAAAGCAAAAGAACCCAACTTATAACTGAAGCTTCTTAAGTTATTGAAACATTGGAACCTGAAATTTAAAAACTTTTAATCCAGCCCTTGAGTTTGTCAAAACAATAAACAGGAATAAAAATTGGAGATCTTCCCTCTTAATGTATTTTCAGTTTAAAAAATGGAAAATTCTTACCAGCACTGCGGATGTTCTACAACTTTCAGCCAACTGCCCATAAACAGATAAACGAAGCCAATTCTTGGCTGAAGAGTCCAATTCTGGGAGATCTTTGTGAACTGATTTGGCTCTAATATGTATCAGGCAAGAAGAAGCAGAGTTGAGGAATGGTGAGGAATAGGACAAGACATGATCTCATCTGAACCAAGACCAAGCAGTACATGGAAGGTGTAAAAACACTCGTCTGCACATACCCAGACAAAGCAGAAATGACAAGGCTCCTGCCAAAAGTCAACCTTAAGAAACACAAGGCTGAGGAACACTTGAGAGCTCTGTGTCCATCTGGAAAAGAGGTAGATCAAGCAGGAAGGACTCAAGAGGAAAAGTAGATTGAGATGCAGCGGATGGGAATAGAAGAGGTCCCAATTTTTGCATGAATATTGTTCATACACATGAACACCCAGAAAAAAACCCTACTATTATGTATGATTTGTAGGATTAAGTATTATGTATTATGCATGATTTGAAAGGATTAAGAAAAGATTTTTTTCCCCTGAAAATCTCTGGTGCGTGCAATTTTTATCTATGTTTAACAACACATTTTAGACATTTGTTCTAAATAATCCAGTGATGAATGCATTTCAGTGAGGGCTGCCTTTTATGAGGGGTGTTGTATTTGTTTATAAATAATTTCATGGCTTTTGCTAATTCCTTGAACTTTGTTAAGTGATTGTCAAACATGTTATTAATCTTGAGTTCTCAGTAATAAACACAAGCAAATAGTGAGTCACTGATGGGGGGTTTTTTTTGGTCTTTTTTTTTTTTTTTTTCTTCTTTTTTCCAGCAGGGAAATGATACTATGAAATTTTTTTTTTTGAGCAAGCACATCAGGAGGGTCATCGCATCTACTTGGCAGGATTTAAGGACAACGTACTTCTGGAAGGGTGGAAAGCCAGAGCCAGCATATTCAGTGCTCTTCTCTCGCATCGGCGGCTCAGCCACAAGGGATGCTAAATAAAGCAGAGCTGTACACGCTCTGACAGCCAACTTTTAGTAACTTCTGCCCCCTTTGATTGCCTCCAGAAGCCACACCAGCATCTGTGAGGAAAAGGCAAGCAGTGAGCATAGCTGGGTTGACCCAGATTTCTGCAGAGCTGGGTATTTCTCCATGCCAAACTTTCACTGGGGTTGACTTCTCTCGCAAGATTACTTAAGTTCTGTCTAACACTATTGTTATTACTGTTATATGAATAACAACAACAACAATAATAAGGGACCATGAAAGAAAGAGTATTCTTTGAAAACCTGACATTTCAACAGCTGCCATTTGGTGGTAAATGGTTGTGATGAGTTTTGACTTATTCTAATGAGGCAAAACAAGAAAAGAACATCACAAATAAATACTGTTTTGAAGAACTGCTCGTGTGTGTCTGCCGTTGGTGGAGAAGTGCTTCAGTCCCTGACAGAGGACTGTGTCTCAGACACCACATCCCCTACCAGGTCTGAATCCAAAACTCAGAGAAGTCAAAGGGAGAAGGGTTTTTTTCCTTGACTTCACTGGACTTTGGATCAGGCTCTGACCTGAGAGGTTGTTTAAAGAAGATATGGGATGCGGAGTCCAGATCCCAACTGCTCTTCCTGACCTCCTTCAGAATTTTGGGGAAGTTAGCCCTTAATTTGCCCTCAACTGGATGCATCTCAGAAGTGTTGGTTGATGTGACTCAGCAGCTGTATCAGGAAGATCAGGATAGAGAGCAGATTATCCCATCGGCCCCACCTACATCTTAAAGGACTTCTGCAAACTTTATAGAATCATAGAAACTTCAAACTTGCCCAGTCTCTCTTTCCCGCTCCATTTGAGTAACAGCCAAGTGAGATCAAAATGCTTCAGAAACCATCCACAAACGTTTCCTGTGCTTTTATCCAGCAAATTTTGTCTTTGAATCTCCCGAAGGTAGGTTTGTCTGGATGTATCCAGCAGCTTGTGCTTCTGGGTGATACAGACAAGACTTTTGATGGAGTCTTTCTCCTCATGGGGGTTTGGATGAGAGAAAAGCAGGGAATTCAGAGAGAATGAGGAGCAATTTAAAAGTTTAAATAATGACTGAAACCTCTTTCCATGAGCATCCACAAAAAGGGAGGGCTCAGTTAACTACCCTCTGAGCTGATTTTAGCCACACACATGCACAGGCACACGTACCCAAGATCTGCAAATCCCTCGCCCTGCCCCAACCCACTTGGTGGGCCCCTCTCCACTGCTGCGTCTGGAAGAAAAAAAAATGTCACACGTTCTGATAACCACATTTTCCATCCTAAAATTGCACTGGTTTCTGGCTTGCTACTGGGACTCAGGTCAGGGAAAGTAGGATAGATTTTTCTGCCTGCATCCGGCAGCCACGAGCTGTTAAACCCACCCGCCCCAGAGAAGCATTTTGCCAAAGAGTGAGATTGCCCAAGGGAAGAACATGCAACTGGTTGTACCGAGCTGTCCAAGTTGAGCGCTTGTCTGCAAGATCAGGCAAGCTACGACCCCCAAGGGGTCTTGATCAGTGTTGTGTGTGTTACCAGGCAGACTTTACAGGGAAAGAGCAAACCAAACTGAAGAGGCTGGTGCCCAGGGTGGCTTGTACCCTCACGAGAAGGTGGCTCTGTACACTCCCTGGGAGACTCTTGCTTTACTGAGTGAGACTCCTGTCCTCCTTGGCCGCCCACGCTTTCCAAGAGGTCCAAGGACCACGTGCTGCTTTGCAACCCTCCCTCGCGAACTCGCAGTATCTCTGTTGTTCAGCAGGGAGCAAGGCTGGTGGGTCTGGATAACCCTGCCTCCATTAACACCAGAGAGACGTAGATCACTGAGTATATGTATGTGATCGACAGCTGGCCACATTGGTGGCTTGCCTTTTTTTTTTTTTTTCCCCATATAACTTAACCTCTCGTTCCACAGAACAGAGAAACTGTATGGAAACCCTCAGCATCCGATGTGTGGCCCGATATTCTTCTGCCCACTAAATGCTCTCCAGGAACCTTTCTCATCCTTTTGCTTCTTTTGTTCTCCTCCTCGCTTTACATCACCGTCTCTCTTTCTTCTTCAACAAGTACTGTGGGTCTGTCTCCATCGTAAAGCCCAGAGCCATTCAGGTACTCCTCGTCTTTGTTGTACTGCTCTGGTCCAGAAGAAGGCATGGAGTTTTCAGAAATGGAGCCATTTTTTACATAACCTGGCAAATTCCGGTGTCCATTGAGGGTCCCTGGTATAAGTCTCGTATTGAGATGGAGGGCAAGTGCCCCTCTTGTGGCTACATTTGTGATGCTGGTGTGGGAAACCATTGGTCCATAACTGTAGGTTGTGCTCCCACTTCGTGCTTTCCTTTTAAAGTCAAGTGCTAATGTCCACCTGCTCCATGACTTCTTTATTTCTGCTTGGACCTGAGAGAAAAGGGGGAAAAAAAACATGAGTGGGAGGAGAAAGGAGCAGAGAGTCATCAGAAGGCAACAGTATCCACAGACAGAATGGAAGGGAAACTGTCTGGAGTGTGAAATTGGAAGGAACAGTACATTTACATCAAATCTGCCCTTTCCAAGTGAAATATTTGATATTGGGAAGCTGGAATGCCTGAAAACATCTAACTGAAAATATGGGTTAGCTCTTTCCCAGGGAGAAGTTGTGGAGGCCCCATCCCTGGAGGGGTTCAAGGCCAGGCTGGATGGGGCTTTGAAAAACCTGGCCTAGTGGAAGGTGTCCCTGACCGTGGCAGTGGGTTGGAACAGATGATCTTAAAGTCCCTTCCAAACCAAACCATTCTATGATTAAGGGAGACCGAGCAGCACGCTCAGGAGTGAGACATCTCAAAGTACCATGAGCTTCAAATACAAGTGGGATTAACCACCTTCAGAGGTGTCTGCACTGACAACTGAGTGTCTCACTTTTACATAGCTGAAGTTAATTTGAAATCAATTCCCCTTATGGTGTGGATTTCATCTTGGTTTTATTCTGTAGAACATAAGCAGCATATTTTTAGTTGCATATTCCCCTAAAGTACATAAACTTAGGCTGAACCAGCCTGATGAGAGTATCTGTTCTTTCCTAGTGTGCATCCACTGACCATCTAGTTACTTAGTCTGCAGCCATAGAGGGAATTAATGGAAACAAAGACATTAAATCATATCACTCTGGAAATAGAAACAAAGGTCAAAAAAGCCTAGAAAATCAACAGGGCTTGCTCGTTAGGCAGCTACTCTATCAGTCTACTTTTCTTCCTGCCACAGATCTGAAATTAAGCAGCACTAAACAGCACTTGTGCTGGGAAAAGGAAAGGAAAAAAAAACATTTTTCTTCTCCATTAGCTACTTTCAGTAGCTCATTTATTGGTGACATATTGACCTGCATGTCTTACATGATCAAAACCAAGGGTATGAACTTTCTATGTGGACTGTCAGATCTTTCTCTGGGTGCAAAAAAGGGTTGCGTCTCGAGAATAAGTGAGGATATGCTGATGTGCATCCACTTTCCCATCTGTGTGTGGAACTAGCCTGACAAAGGAGGGAAATAATTAAGAAACTGGTGACCTACCTCTCCATTGCAAAAACAGTATATGATGGCAACAAAAAATCCCTAGAAGGAAGAAGAAACAACATATCAACGTTAATCTTGCTGCATGTGGTCATCTCTTTCTCCTGATGGCGCTGCCCAGTGTCCTGTGTTCCTCTGAAATCAATGCTATTCATAATATGCTGCATGTAATATGCATAAGAAACCTTGCATTATTGAGTAGTGTATGAGAGATGGATAAACACAGCCGTTTCCCTGCAGACCATTGACATAGTAGGTAGACTATATAAGTCCTCCGGGTCATGGTTTAGCTAAGAAGTCCATTTTCACCCCCAGATCTTTTGCAAAGTTTCTGAGAAGGTGATGGGTGCATGGGAAGGTGGTGGGGTCTACCTGACTGGAGGTGTTTATGAGCATATTGGATAAACATTTCCAGTGTTTCACACATAGCTGATCCTGTTGCAGGATGGGAGGGGTGGAAGATGGCCCTGATGGGGACCTTTCCAGCCCTGGTTGGAAGAGGGGCAACCCATGTGTGGAGCAGAACTGGCTGAGTGGGATCAGCAAAGGAATTCAGATGTGAGCAAACCACCCACATCTTTTAGTTGGCCAACAGTTTACTAAGGTCTTGCTGATGTCACCCACTATTTTGTCCCATCTGCACCCAAGAGGAATTGTGAAAGCACGTGGACGTGTGCTTGGTCCCCTTCTACCTTACAGTTTCCCTAAACTGTCATCTGGACAGACCCACTGTCCATTTTTCATCATCCACACAGGTCAACTATGAGGATAGGTAGCACCATGCGAGCCAGAAGTTAATCTCTCAGGGGAGGGTGTGCAGTGATGACCAAACACTGCTCTGCTTGTAGAGAGTTGTGTATTTTTGCTGCTGCTGTGTCTTCTGGAGGACCAGTCCTGGAACTGAACCTGCCTTTTGCCCAAATCTAAAACTGAGGAATCCATTCACAGGACTGAAAGACAACTTGGGACAAGCAAATTGGAAGCCAATGTGAAACAACATGTCTCTGTGGATCTCTACCAGTCTATGTCTAATCTGGATCTACAGGGGTTTATTTTGTGGGGAAAGTTATCTTTCAACAGGAACATTTTCTGTTGGACACACTAAGCTTCTATATGCTGTGTTTTGCAAATATGGGACATACTTGATGCTAAAATACTGTCAAATCACCTTGTGAATGAAATCTGGTGTATTGTAAAAACAGCCCTGCTTCCAAAGACAACACCTTCCACTCTCATTTCCCTCCTGCCCTCATTGAAATTCTCGTAGTTTTCCCCCATAGTTTAATGGTTACAATACCTGGAAAGAGTTGAACAGCATTTCATAGTGCATTTGAACTTGCCAAAGAATCCCTGACACGTCTGTGTATGGCATAGCCATGAAAACAATATAGTGAACGCCGAACAGAGGCATAAGGACGAGGGTAGATTTCAGCAGCTTCCTGCAGCAAGAAGGAAAGAGAAAGACACAGAGGAAATTAGCGGATGGAATGAACCTTCCCAGCAGGCTTGTCCACCTCATACCTTGGACACAAGTCATACGTAGTTTCTTTCTTGCTCACATGCCCCCTTGGCTGGTGTTGGCTATCTTATGTTTACACAGGGACTGTGTCCACCTGCAGTTTCAAACTGTTGCTTATGGCATGTGACAGTCCATCCTCCAGCATGGCTTGATGTGCCAGCCTAACCCTCTCCACATGCACGCCCCCATGCACTGGAGATGAAGATGTTGAGATGTCTTTTTCAGCCTCAGATTATCTCCAGCCTTTGGTCAGGCTCATGGATAGAGGGTGGAAGGGTGACTGGAAAGAAAAGTGCACTGCTGCTTCTAGCCCTCTGACTGACACGAAATCCCCTTGTCCCTGTGGATGGTTCTGCTTTGAATGCCTTGATGTGGTCCTACACAACCTGCAGTAGCTGACATTGCTTATCAGGGAGACCTGGACTAGATGACTTTCAGAGGTCCCTTCCAACCTCAACCATTCTGAAATTCTGCAATTATGCCTGCTTATTGAGGCAAGACATGAAGGACCACCCTGGGTTAGTGCCTCCTGTGCAACGAGCAGGGCTGGTGGAGAGAGAAGTGCATCTGGGAGCAGAATTGTTCCAGATATCATGGGGAGGAGGACAGTGCACTGTGGGGTAATCATTTAGGTTGGAAGGGACCTTAAAGATCATACAGTCCCACCCCCTGCCCTGGGCAGGGACACCTCCCAGGAGACCAGGTTACTCAAAGCCCCATCCAATCTGGCCTTGAACATCACCAGGAATAGGGCAGCCACAGCTTCTGGGCAACTTGGGCCAGTGTCTCACCACCCTCGTAGTGAAAAAATTCTTCCTGAGATCTAATCTAAATCTGTGCTCTTCACGCAGGAATTGAACAGTCTTAGGGGGTGCTTTGGACTGCAGTGTCACCTAGAAAGCTCCTATTTACAGAAGAAGCTCCATCTCAGCATAAGATCAATGTTGGGGGTTGGGGGAAGGAATAATACAACCCTGAGTACTTGACTGGGTTTGCTCCTGAGGGAGCCAGCCTTGCCTGGAAGTGATGCTAATTGAAGGATTAAAGCTTGTGCCAAGAGTTACAGCAAGTTACCAAGTGCAGGCAATTATTGAGAAGGGCCAGACATCACTACCAGAAAGACCCGGTACCTCCTCCGTCCAGCAACTGGAAACCACTGAGGGAATTTAACACATTAAAAGGAGAAGGCCCCATCCAAACCATAATTAATAGCAAGCTTCAGCCAGGGAGAAATAAACAAATAGATAAATCAGAACCCTGACAGGGCAGCGAAGGAAAATGGAGAGGTGTTTTCTTGCCAAATCTCATTCCTGCTTCAAATGAAACGTCTTGTGTTTGGAGAGTGAGATGGTAGCAATGAGCTCATGGTTTGCAACCCAAATCATTCTGCTCTCCCCCCTCTGCATGTGTCATGCTGGTCAGTCCAGCTCAGAAGATTATGAGAAGCCTCAGGAGCTCTCAAGCAGCCGAGGTGTCTCAGCAATCTGCTTTTTCCGTCCAGTTTTGACCATGCCACAAATACCCTAAATTATCAAGAGAGAAGAGCTGGCAGGACAAAGGAAAACAAAACAAACAAGGAAAGGCCAGATTTCCAGCAAAGAGTCAGGAAACTTTTTTCATTTCAGCACAAGCCCTGAAACACCCGCTAAAGGGCAGATTGAACAAATAGACTGAGTTTTACAAAGCACAGGAGGGAAATAAATAGAAATAAATACATTGGTACAAATTTTAGGGGCTTCAACAGCATAAGCAGTGCTTTTTTTTTTTTGGCTCTTGGTTCAAGGCCAGCACAATCACTTCCAAACTGGCTGAAGAGACTGAATTCCTCTCTTTAACCTATCAGGCAGGTCCCCCAGGTTGGATTTGAAAGGTTTAGGAGATGTTTAAACTGCCATTGATTCATTCTGCGTTATCAGACTTGGAAGATAGCATTCTTCTCACCTTATTTTAGGGGTCTACAGTGTAGACACCATGAACTAGTTACTCTGGGCTCCCTCTGTGCTCAAGGAAGTGAAACAGGGACTTGGACATCTCCCCAAAAGTGGAGAGGGTACGTGACTCACCTGTACTGTTGTCTTGAGTCACACCTCCCTGCATTCGTCTCTCGTAGCTTGGTTGCTAGGACTCTGATAATGTTGATAAAAAGAATAAAATTTACCTGGAATAAACAACAAAGAAAGGATAACTCTTAAAAAAAAGATCCAGACGATGATAATGTTGTTTAGTCAATGGTTTCCCCAAGATGAGTCACAGAATGACTTGGTGGTGCTGTGTATGAAGTTCCTCCTGGGAGAGCTCATCCTGTGGAAGGGGTGAGTTCCACAGGAAAGACCCGGTGTTTGGTGGGATCTAGTCAGCTGTGTTTAACCTCAGTGGCTGAGAGAGAGAAGGGAATGATATTCTCTGACAAAGTGTGGGCATCTCACATGGAAAGGCCTACATCTGAGCTAGCGAGCCCAGCAGACACCTGATGACTGGGCAGGATATCAACATATAAGGCAGTGCTTACCAGGTGTTCTGAGGTATGGACCACAGACAACTCTCAGTATTTTTCACATCATCTTTTTTTAAAACTCCCTACAGTGATATGGGTCATTTTCATGGCCTCATAAACCTCTCAAACTTATTTTTTTGAGGTCCAGGGACCAGAGTGAAATTAAGTTATATTTGTCTCTTGCAGCCCACCCACGATGAAGGTCTCCTCAGGCTGAGAGAAGCATTAGTAGGATGCCTTTCCATATTTCCACATGCAAAAGAGCAAGCAGACTGCACCATGATGAAGACGTAGAGTAGACCTAACTAGAAATGAGAGGGAGGGACTCTTTTTCAGGGCGTGGAGTGATAGGATGAGGGGAATGGTTTCAAACTGGAAGAGGGGAGATTTAGATGAGAAATAAGGAAGAAAATCTTTACTGTGAGGGTGGTGAGACACTGGAACAGGTTGCCCAGAGAAGCTGTGGCTACCTCATCCCTGGAGGGGCTCAAGGCCAGGTTGGACGGGGCTTTGAGTAACCTGGTCTAGAGGGAGGTGTCCCTGGCCAGGACAGGGGGTTGGAATTTGATGATCTTTAAGGTCCCTTCCAACAGGAACCATTCCATGAGTCTATGACAGATCAAGAATGCAGAAGGGCAATATAACTGCAAAAGCTATGTCTACTGCTAACTCTCCCTCTGAAGGAGTGTTTAATATGGACCTGATAAGCATGGTAATGAGGAATCTAATTCCTATGCAAGGAGTCACATCTATGAACCAAGAACCAAGCCAAGCTAATCTAAGTCCTACAGGAACATGCCCGTGGAGCCCCCTGCAGCAAAAAGTTAAGTCAAGTCTCATACTGCCACTTAACAGAGATGAAAAATGGGGAGATGTTTGAGGGATTCTCAGCTTTTTGGAGCTTTCCATGAGTCTATGACAGATCAAGAATGCAGAAGGGCAATATAACTGTAAAACTTATATGTCTACTGCTAACTCTCCCTCTGGAGGAGTGTTTAATATGGACCTCATAAGCATGGTAAGGAGGTAATATCTAATTTCTATGTAAGGAGTCCCATCTGTGAACACATCTAGTTGCTCAGCCAAACTAATCGAGTCCTACAGGAACATGCCCATGGAGCCCCCTGCAGCAAAACATTAAGGGCAACATCTCATACTGCCACTTAACAGAATGAAAAATGGGGACATGTTTGAGGGATTCTCAGCTTTTTGGAGCTCTTCAGAGATTGGCTTCACAGGGGTTGGGATTTTACCTGCTGCTGCCTCAGACAAACCCATTTGTGGGGCTACAGCAAGTCCACAAGCAGAACCATTGTGTAACTGTCTGCACTGGGCAGATCCCTGTTGCTGGGCTAATCCCGATGCCTATGGCTTTCTCTGGACTCATTTGACTTCTCAGATGCCAGTACAACAGCATTTCAAGGACACAAATTACCATGCCACACACAGGCTCATAGTTTTATGCCAGAAGGGACCATTGTGAACCTCTAGTTTCATCTCCTGCAAAACGCAGCCCATAAGACCTCCTTGTATTCATTTTTGTTTGAGCTATAGCAGATCTGGGTTTCTGTGTTTCCATGACGGAGATCCTACCACAACCATGGGTAAGTCGTTCCAACGGTTAATTATCCCCACTGTTTAAACAAGTAGTTCCCTGAGCCACTGAATGAACACGGCCTGGTTTGCTACGGCTTTGTCTTCTGTGGTTGGATTCCTTCTTCTTTAACGAGGTGCAAGTTCATTTTGAACAGCTCTCCTCTGTGTTAAGAAGGGGGTAAGGTTGTACTACACCCTTTTCCTTGAAGGGGCATTAGTAGAATTTCTCTCCCGTATCTACTTGACTGTTTCCGTGAGGTTTGTGGGAATTTAACATCCATGCAACCCCATTCCCTTAGTTACATTTGGTTGGAATTTACTGACTGGCACAAAAGTTAGAAGGGAGGGATGGATAGACCGACAGGCAGAGAAGCACACGGCCTGGGGGCATATAATTCATTTTCATTGGAAACCAATCTGAAAGGAAAAAAAAAAAACAAACCCCAAGAAAAAAAAGAAAAGGCAGGCTTTGTTTCTTGTATGAATTTTTCCAGCTTCAAAGGCTCAAAAGTGGGATCTTGTTCTTCATTTGTCAGCTAAACTGAAGATGTCCAACCTTATCACAGTCAGGAGGGAAACTCCTCTGACTTCCTGAAATGTGTGCTAAGTTTTAAAAGAAATCCAGACAACTGAGTAACATCAAAGCCAGCAGCAGAGTGGAGGGATTTTAAGCCCCTCATCCTCCAAATTCTCTGCAAGTACATCCAGAAAATGCATAACATAGTCCAGCAACATATGACCAGCCAGTGTGGGAATTGAAAAGGCGGCCAAGTGAACAATATGAACCCACAGAAATTAAACAGAAACAACCCACAGAATATTTTTGCATGATAAATAGCTGCATTTGCAAATAACCAGGGTACAAGCCCAGCAGAGCCTCATGGAGAAACATTATTTTTACAAGGACGAGCCTCAATTGAGCTCTTTCTCCTCTGCTAATTGGGCTTTAAATTAAATGCAATGGGGTTGCTGGCATTCATCTAGTTGAACTATCTGAACTTTCTTCTCCATCCTACTATTCTGTTTCCAATGACCACTATGTGGGCTCGCTGATTCGCTTCTTCCAAGATGCAAAACTGATTGGTAGAGCCAGGTGGAGAATTTCCACCAAAAGAAAATTCTGAGGAAGAAAAAAATCTCCCCCCCTCAAAGTCCAAAGCAGCTCATCTAAGTGCCCATATGAGCATATTCACCTCAGAAACTTTCCTGCTGTTTGTATGCAGATGGTCTGATTTTCTTCTCACCCACACTGATCACCTTCCAAGGCCTCCTGATTTGTCAGTCAGAAGGAAGTATGCAGAGTTTGATGCAAAACCCACTGAAAACTATAAAGAGATTCTTACTGACTCCACTCAGCTACTAGTGGATGAATATAAAGGGGGACTAGGAGGTGTAGGAGTGGACAAACCCTTCTGGAATGCACTCCTCTGACCATCAGAAGATGGAGTAATGGAGAATGACAGAGAAAGACAGAGGGAAATTCATGAAAACTGTGAAAGCAGGTTCTCTAGCTAATTAGGACCCTGCTCAAGCAAACACATAACTACCCACCGAATTCCCCTTGTGCAGACAATCTTATCTTATAATGACCTCTCCAGCTTGTGAGACCTCAGTTCTGTGTCTGGATAATGTCACTTGTATCCTTTCTGTCCCTTCTGGCTCCCGGGTGGGGGTAGAAGTAACCCTCCATCAGTGGTTAACATCACGACTGATCATAGCTGGGATGGTTTAACTTTCGATCCCAACTTTGCGGTTTCCCAAACTTTTATCAGTTCAGAAAGACAAGTCTGAAACAATCTGATGACTGAAGCACACCTGGGGAAAAGGTTTGGTTCAGCTACAGAACCCAAATTCCAGTTCTTCCCACTGGAGATGCCTGGTGAGAACGTGTTATGATCCCTGAGGGTTTTCAGTATCACACAGGTTGGAACTATTGGCTTAAATATTTGTTCCATCAATGATTTTAGGGTCTTACCCCTGGGTAATTTTTCTCTTGTAAGTAAAATTTGAAGTCACTGATAAACCCCGCTGCCATATGCAGCCATCAAACTTACAGGCAGGTAAAATAAAAGACCCTTAGACTGGACATACAGAAATTACACACTATTAAGGCAGGAGCTGGGTTATCAGGGTCATTATAGTAGGGCAACCTGGCTCAACTCTTCCCACTGAGCCTACCTTGACCAAATGGACAGCCTCCCACCCCTTGCAATCAACCGGTACTCACCACGATAGCTGCCAGGATGGGCACCTGAACAATCCACTTTAAATTGCCAGCACTCAAGTCCCAACACCTGAGAAGAGATCAACATCCAATCAGGAAACCATTGGTTACAAAGAGCAATAAACTCAAGTGTCTTATTGGGTAAATCCACCCTGGAAGGAAGGGTTCCTCCAAAGGCTGGTGTGGTGGAAGGACCCTGCCTTCAGTCAGCATGGCTTCTCCTGCTGTTCTACTATTCAAAACCGAAACCACTATTAAACACATTTAAAGTTATGCTCTCCAGATGGTGGAATGGCTCTTTCCACAGTCATCGAGACTTGTCCCTTCTGGGCAGGAACCCACCCTTTTCCACTTCTTCTTCACCTCCTTACCAGGAAAGAAAATACACTAAGTGTAACCCAGCTTTCATGAGAACAGGAGAGGCTGAAATGCCTATTACCCCTTGGAATAAACCCACACAACTTTCCACAGGAACAGGTCCTGTCTGAAGACATGGTTATGGGGACAATACTGTGGGGTTCTATATTCAGTTCCTGTGCTTTCTTCAGCCCTGCTCTTGCAATGAGACCCAGCCATGCCCCACAAAACTCTTTAACTCTCTTTCATCTTCAGCCCTTATCCAAGTGAGGATTGGAAGGGCAAACTGTTGGTGGTGTGGATGTTGGGCTACGGTCCTCCGTCTGCCAAGATGGGGCTGAACACTATTTCCTCCTAGGCTTTTCCAGCAGCCATTGAATAAGGTCACTCAGTGTTAATTACTCCATTTGAATTCTCTCCAACCACGGAGAGAGGAGTGCCACAGGCTTTTCTTTATCTGAGCCAGACAGCCCCCACATGGCAGCTGCAGTTTTTATTTCATGGGCCAAATGCTGCCCAGGCAGCTCTTCAAGGAAAGCGAAAGGCAGGGGCAGAGAAACCACCAGTGCTGACTGTAAGGCTCTACCAGGATGAACCTGTGCCAATGCAGATGCGTCACACTTCAGTAGCTGTGCTACTCCAGCTTTCCAAGCTTGGAGATGAAATCCCATCCAGCTCTGGGAGCCCCAATATCAGAAAGACATGGACCTGTTGGAGCAGGGGCAGAGGAGGCCACGAAGATGCTGTGAGGGCCGGAGTCCCTCTGCTGTGAGGACAGGCTGAGAGAGTTGGGGGGTTCAGCCTGGAGAAGAGAAGGCTCCAGCGAGACCTTAGAGCCCCTTCCAGTCCCTCAAGGGGCTCCAGGAAAGTTGGGCAGGGACCCTAGATCAGGATGGGGAGCCATAGGATGAGGGGTAACAGGTCTAAACAGGCAGAGAGCCATAGGATGAGGGGTAACAGGTCTAAACTAAAAGAGGGGGGTTTTAGATGAGAACTCAGGAAGAAATTCTTTGCTGGGATAACAGCTAGAGGTGTTCATGATTCTCAGATTCTGTAAAATTAAAGGAAAGGTAGGAAAGTGGCACCCACTTCACCCTTCCCTGCCGCACACTCCCCCAAAAGTTTGCTAAATTCATAACAGAAAACACTTCTGGCTTTGCCTGGTTCCCTTTTTTTTTTCCTTTTGATTCACCCACAAACTCGCCATTGCCAAAACCCCCACAAAAGCATCACAAGTAAAAGGGAGAAAAGAAAATTCAATGTGACTTACTCTGTGTCGGCTAGAGCGGCCCTCACGCTGGCCCACGCTGTAACAAATACAGCAGGGAGTCCTGCAAATAAACACAGGTCAAAGTGGGTGAGTAGGGGGACCAGAGGGCTCTGTTACCATAAGCCCAGGTGGAACTGGGCTAGAGGAAGGTGGAAGAAGCAGTTTTTAAATATTCAAGCATAATTTAGACCAGGAAAGCCCAGCCTTGGTCTCGCATCTCTTCTGTAGTCGAAATGGTAACCACAGTAGTGGCAGGGAACATTTTCTGGAAGACAAATGTCATGGTCTGGACATGTCCACCCTACTGAACTCTCCTGGCTTTCAAAACGGAGCAGCTTGCTTTCCCAAGTTGCTGGCCAGGAGTGGTCCAGGCTTAAACTACCTCCTGGTTTGTGCTGGGGAGATGCTCAGACCAGGGTCTGAGATGCATCATGGGCTTGGCAGGATAAATGAAGGTCCCATGCCTTTCTTCTAGCAATACATAGCCTGTAGTGCTTGAACCTGGGTGACTGATACCTGCTCAAGCCAACTCATTCCATTTGAAGCAGGGAAGGCTTTTCTGCAGCACACCTTTCCCGAGATATTTGTTCCCTTCCCCTGATGAAGGAAAGGTGGATCTGGAGTCCACCTTTGGAGTTTTGAGGAGCGACTCTTGATCTGGGAGTTTAGCGATAGGATGAGGGGTAATGGTTTTAAACTGAAAGAGGGGAGATTCAGATGGGAAGAAAATCTTTAAAGTGAGGGTGGTGAGACACTGGTCCAGGTTGCCCAGAGAAGCTGTGGCTGCCCCATCCCTGGAGGGGTTCAAGGGCAGGTTGGAGGGGGCTTGGAGCAACCTGGTGTGGTGGGAAGTGTCCCGGCCCAGGGCAGGGGGTGGCACTGGATGGTCTTTAATATCTCTTCCAACCTGAACCATTCTATGGTTCTATGATTTTTTGATTCTATGATTCTACAGAATCAGGCTGAGACCATTTCTCCCAGCACAGGGCTGGAATGATTAGGAGCTCTGTTTAGTGTGAGAGACTCACTGCACAAAGCAGACAAATGCTAGAATTTAAGGCAACGCTTGCAAAATGCTCTAGCCAAAGGTTTTCTCCCCAATGAACCATCCATATTTCAGCACAGTTACACTGGGCATCATCTTTTCCCTGTGAGAAGTAAAAAAAAATCACCAGTATCCAAATGCAATCTTCTATTTATTTTTTTAGGGTCCAGTTCTGCTTTATTTGTACAACTGAGTCCCCTACTGGCTTCCCTTAAAAGGCAGGATCAAATCCACAGTAGCTTCCACAAGTTCAGGAAGAATAGCCCCTTTCAGGTGAAAAAAAAAAAATAATTAAGAAATAAATAAAGGCGACATTTATCACCAATGACTGTAAATATGCTGTTCACAGCCCAAGCTCATTGGGGCTCGGCGTGCATAAGCACACGCTTAACTTTCAGCATGCACTTAAGTCTCATTAGGGTGCTTAAAGGCTTTCCTGACCACGGATGCTTTCCTGAGCTGGGGTGTGGAAGGGGGACGCCTGTCTCATACACACGTGGACAACGGGGCCGTTATCTTGCTTGGAACCTTTAAATGCCATGGTAATATAAGAAAGCATAAATAATTAAACACAGAGCCTCACTCAGGACCAGGGCGGCAGCGCCGCCGACAAAGATACATTTATAAGGAATGCACCCTGCTTTACAAAATCCCCTGCGATGGTGTTGGAAAGAAAATACTTAACCTATTGCTCTAGGAACCCATGAGCACATGGAAGCTTGGGGAAGGCGGTGATTTATTGTAACAGGCACCATCTATTTCCTCCTCACTGTTAATCATCTATCTATGAAAAATACGTGCGTGTTCCAAACTACCGGCTGAGCTACCAAAGGCTTAAATGCATCTAATTTCCCTGATATCTTTGGTGGTATTCCAATTTATATCAAGGAAGAAACTGGTCGTGTTGCAAAGTTCAGATGCCTGCTGCCTGCCTGCGAGGTGCTGGGTGTTCACCCACTATTGTGCAGGTCTAAGCTTGGGAGGTGGATTGTTTCAGAGCTTTAGATGCATTTGACATGTACTTGTTCCTCCCTGGCATGTCCTGTACTTCTGAAAAGACACTGTTCCCATTCATACTAATCCTGTGCTGTGCTGGAGGTTCCTAGCAACAATAAAATACACAAGGGAAATAATTATACCTAAAAATTTCCATATGTGTGGATTTATTGTGCCCTGTGCGCCACTGCCTTGTTCGGTTCAGGCAAGCTTAGGGAAAGGGTGTCTTTGACACCTTCTGCAAAACACACAAAGCAAATTCCTGGCACCAGTTTTATTGCTACATTTGTCTTTCTGTGTCTCCGACATCGTTCGGTTTTTTGCAAAGTGAACAATCATAAATGTTCTGAAATTGTCAGAAAGCGGTATGAGTGCTCCCCCTCCCTTTTCTCTGCCTCGTTTTTAGATTCTACATCAACGTAACAAGGAATGTTTTGGCCATCAGGCAATTTCTAGAGTTCATTGTTTTCCTCCCACTCCAGTAAGTTATTCTCTCAATGTGAAGAGTCAGAAGTCTTAGCTCTGCCTCCAGCGTCTCTTTTAATTTCTGAGGGTGATGACTGACTTTTTGGTGTCTCCACTTCAGAGTCCTGGTCTGTGATGCCCCAAGATTGACAATCCCTCCTGCTGAGTGCTATCAGTGCCCATCGATGGGAGAACCATCAGCCCAAAAGTCAGCACCGAGGTCACAGAATCACCGAATCTTCTAGATTGGAAGGGACCTTAAAGATCATCTTGTCCAACCGTCAACCTCACTGACAAAAATAGACACCCACACAACAAACAAGGAGCATCATCACTAAACCAGACCTCCCAGCACTACATCAACCCGGCTTTTGAACACCTCCAGGGATGGGGCCTCAACCACCTCCCTGGGCAGCCCATTCCAATGCCTGAGAACCCTTTCAGTGAAAAAATTTTTCCTAATTTTTCCTTTGAGGTCCTCAAAGTTAGACATCCAAAGATCTCCACCAACAGCAAGACACCCAAGAGGATGCATCTCTGTGAGCAGGAAGGTCATATGTGATTAAATACATCTGGACAACCCCTCAGAGAAAGGGAAATGAGCCTCCAAAAAGCCTGTGATCTCCTGGCTGGCTTTGGGCACGGACAGATGGATGCATGTGTGACCTCCCCCTGGCACGTATGTACCCCACGTGCACGACCGGTGTGACGCCGGACAGAACCCCACCGGGCGGCGATGGTGTGAGTGACTTCTACAGAATCCACATTGTATGCGCTGTGCATTTCCAGTCCATACACACAGTGTGTACAATGCAGGTGCTATAAAGTCAGGTATCTCCCCCAGCAAACCTCAAGCTGGGCAAAGTCTGGTGGCCACCACCTCATCCCAACTCCCTGCTCTCCTCTGTGGCTTTTCTTGTGTAAGTGTCTCCCAGCAGTTGGAAAAGGGGCTTTCAGGCACGTGTCGAAGCTGTGAGTAAGAGCTCACTAAGGCGACTTAGCAAGGAGACTGCTAGAAGAAAATTCATGAATAAAGACCTTATGAAGGTCTGGAGAAGTCCTGGAGGGTCTTGGGCCCCTGCTCTTTGAAAACTTTTCTGAGGAACAATACCTGTGTTTTTTCAGTCCCTCCGTGTCATAGTTTCCTAATATTATATGGGGTTAATAATACCCTCTTATGCCTCCTGTCCTGTTAGACACAAATTCTTTCAAGCAAGGATGATTTCTGCTTGGGTAAACATACAGTGCTCACCATCATGGGTTTTTGGACCTGAGCACCTCTAACAGTAACACGTCGATCTATTTGGCCTTTTCCAGGTCTCCCCACAATCCTCATTTGCACCTTAGCTGAAAGCCAGTGCAGTCCAGCCCGGGGAGGGGGGGGGGGAGGAAATTAACGTGGTGTGAAGGAAAAATGCCAGTGGAATCAGCTTGGGTTTTCTAGCTATTGGTCATGCTTCTTAGACTTCCTTCATAAAACAGCTGCAGGGAACTTGAAGTCTGCTGGGGAATTTATTGTTGCCCATAATCTCATTATTTATTTATTTATTTTGGGTGCTGGCAAGGCACAAGTTCCTTTCTGTCATCAGTGTCTCCTTTGCAAGAAGGGTGCTGTGGATTTTCGTGGAGCTGCGTTCCCCAGTGCCAGTGAGGATGGGGTTTGAAAGGAGCTATATGTCCTGGTTTCCTTCGTAGTCTGAAAATAAGATGTTGTAAGGTGATTTTTGCTCCCTATCCCCACCTTGGAAATTTCCAGGCAGGATAAATCCACTGCTATTTGTTGGTTTTTAGTCAACAAGCAAATAAAAAAAATAAATAAAAAAAAAATAAATCCCAGCTTTTGGGGTAAACTTGTCTTTTCTCTACCTATGTGAAATGTCACAATTATTTATCGCTGATTCCCTGTCATTCATTGCTGTGGTATGGGCAGGATCCAGTGCCCACTGCAGGGAACTGGAGTTTTTCCACTGACTCCAGTGGGTCTTGGATTGAGTTGCCCTTTCCAGTGCCCAAAAGCTATCAAAGCAATACGTCTGTACGGGGGTGTGTGTGTACATTATCATGCTAATCAAAACAAAGCAAAAACAAATGCAACTGGAGGGATCCTGTGTTCTCATTCCAGAGGAATTTAAATTGAGCAGCCTCAGACTCTTGGATGATTGGTGTTGTGACAGGTGTGACTTCAGCTTTGTGGTTGCTCTGATAAAATGATTATACTCTGGCAGCGGTTGGGAGAATTAATGAGAGGAACCCATGCCTGTTAGACTGTTTTCCTTTGGCTGCATTACGAGCAGCATCAAGTTGGTTTTTCTTGTTTAACATATGGCATTATTTTTCAACTGCTTCCCGCTCTTTCCCGAATTTGCTCCGGGGAATTGCTTCTCTAAGTCTGCTCTGGACAGTTTAGTGGCATTTTCTGAGAACCAAATTTTGTAGCTTGAAGGTTTGGAAGAGGGTGGGGTTTGGGTTGCGTTTTCTTTTTGCTCACTTATTTTAAAAAACAGGTGACATCCAAGGTCCTCTCTGACTCGCAGAAGCTGAAGCAAGAAATGCCCTCTCCCCAGAGTATCCCTCCTCATTTATTTATTGTCCCCAAAACCTACCAGCTGGCTGGGACTAGACTTTGCCTGAGAGATGGATGCCCACTTTAGGACTGAAATTTACACCTCTCAGCTTCATCAAGTTGGAGGTTGAAACCTGATGACCTTTAAGGTCCCTTCCAACCTCTCTCATCTTCATCAAGGGACCTTTAAGGTCTCTTCCAACCCAAACCATTCTCTGAGTCTATGTGGCAGCACCAGCACCAGTTGAATACAGCGTTAGCAAGGAACTTGTGGGTCCCTCCTCTCCCATAACCACAGTGGGGAAAGAGAAATGTGAAAGAGTCTTGTGGGTTGGACTGCCCTGGACTAGTGAATCCCTTCCTTGCTCTCATGAAGCACAAAACCCCCACAGTCCTCCATAAACTCAGATCTGCACTATCTGGCTTGCTCAGAGCTCCACTGTTAGAGATGTTGTTTTCCTTCCAGAGGAAACCATGTGCTGGAATGGGGATGGTGTGATGCACGCATTAATCTTGTCCTAAAATGCAGTCAGGATGTAGCCAGGTGCATTTTGGACTTGGAAACTGGGAAGTGGTCCTGGGGCATACAGTTTTGAGGTAACCGTAGACACCTCTGAACAGGTTTCTTCTGCTGTAAGCTCCTTTGTAGACCTACACCCCATTATTCTTAGTTATGTCCTCGAGGATCATCTAATACGTTTCCTGTTCTACCTTACAGTCCACAACCTTCAAACAACTGTGAGCAGTTGTTTTATTGTCCTCAGCCTCCCAGCACCTCATAAGTCCTTGCAAACCAAAGCTAATGCCAGAATTGAACAGAAAGCACATTCTCCTCTGAAATGGTGTGCGCCCACAACGCCTCCCAGTAATAAGCACCCTCCCCACACCCACATCCCACCCCTTTCTCCTTCCTCCAGGAAAAAGATGCCCAAGTTAAAAGAAAAGGGGGGGGGGAAAAAGGCTTCCCCACAAATTGCAGGTTTCTACCACTGCTCCAACACTCATGAAACCTCAGGAGCTTTTTAAAGCAACTGAGATGTGAGGTGGGAAGGAAATGAGAGCTGAGATCTGCAGTTAGGAGCAGATGTTCACAGCCTCGTGCAACTTTCCGCCTCTCCAGCCCAACTCCTGTTTCTCAGCAGGAGACACTTGGCAGAGATGGGGATAACTCAGAGGATGCACTCAAGTCAGCTGTCACATGCACACATCTGCTGCCCTGGAAGGATGGCAAGATGTCTTGTCTCTCCAAGCCTGGGCTGATCCTTCCAGAGATCCTGGAAGTGCTCCAGTGTAAATACCACAATTTAGAAATTATAAAGGCTTCAGGGTTACAAAAATGATGAGGGGACTAGAACATCTCTCTGGTGAAGAAAAGCTGAGGGACTTGAGGGTTTTTAGTCTGGAGAAGAGAAGACTGAGGGGGGATCTGATCAATGCTTATCAATACTTCAAGGGTGGGTGTCAGGAGGATGGGGCCAGTCTTTTTTCAGTGGTGCCCAGGGACAGGACAAGAGGGAACAGGCACAAACTTGAATATAGAAAGTTCCATCTCAACATGAGGAGGAACTTCTTTCCTTTGAGGGTGGCAGAGCCCTGGAACAGGCTGCCCAGAGAGGTGGTGGAGTCTCTGTCTCTGGAAACATTCCAAGCCCACCTGGACATGTTCCTGTGCAACTTGCTTTAGGTGACCCTGCTCTGGTAGAGGAGTTAGACTAGATGATCTCCAGAGGTCCCTTCACTGTGATTCACAAGAGAGCCAACTCATCCTTGCAAGAGCTACTGTGTCTCTGACACTCACCCTGTGTCTGTCCCCCCTCCTCTATTTATGTATATGCACTATCTGCTTCAAAGACCACCTCCAACAGGCTTCTTACAGATCAACTTTAGGAGCATCCGTGACTTACCCCAGCCAAATAATGTGAATCCCCAAAGATACTTCTTCTCTGAGAAAAATGCCATGAAGATGAGGCTGTGGAGATAGAGCCCTTCCACCAGAATCCAGTAGTAATTGGTTGCCAGGAAGTAGAGGAAGAAGGTGACCGCTACTTTACAGCCCACCTGCAACGACCACAGAAAGACAGGGTTATGTGAGGAACATGATGTGAAACTCTTGTTCTACATAATGCAATAATTTACCAAGATGGGCTGCAAAACAAGATGGAGAAAGGAAAAAAGTAAATCTGTATATTCTGTTGAAGGCTTTTACAAGAAAAATCTGTGCAAGAACAGAAGAGATGAATTGAGAAGAACACCTTCCCTCAGCCTGACATCGTGTCTCTGATAGCAGGTGATCTGGAAGATTTACAAGGTGACCTTGTAAAAAAAAGGTCAAATTTTATCCTGGCACAGCTGTTATGCTAATCCTTTGCCAAACAAAATGAATATGCACATATTATATACATATATATGTATATATATAAAATATGGACATATTTTTACCCATTTTCTTTTACAGACAAAGTGAGTTAGAGCAGAAGGAAGATCAATTAAAAAAATCCCCATCCAGGTTTAATAATAATTGCAATATTTACAGAAAAACACCATCTACCCACACACAGGGAGCATCAGGCAATAATTGAAAAGCTCCCACTTCCCGCAGAAACAAAAGAAATACATTAATTTTCACCTTCATCACTTGTTTGCCTTTCAATTCAGCAGAATGGAAAATGCCATTAAATCGCTAATATTCAAAGAGTGCAATATATTATCCCAATTATTCCTTATAATGAGTCCAGTCCAAGGAGAAACAGAAAACAATGCAGTAAAACATTCTGTGTTCTTTCCAAAAAAGGAGTGTTTTGAAGTGTGCTGAGTGCTCCAGCCAGAGACTCGAAAATTAATTAAAACTCTCTAAAAGGGAAAGAAAACATGATAGCAAATTTCCATTTGGGGGGAATTGAACACACAGTGGGACACTTAATATCTGCTGATTTTGTGCAGGGGTATTGGTGGCCAGGTCCCTGGTAGCAGCACAAGCTGGGGAAGACTTGAGAAGCTGAATGAATCCATGGGCAGAAAGTTTGTTGTCACATTGTGAGAGCCATTCCACTGGGATGCTTGAGCTACCTCAAATTTTTTGTGTGCATTGACAGTAACTCTTGATCTTAGATGCCAAAATCTACCTCCTCTGCCTCTGCACCATGCAACAATTTGTGGATGGTGAGCTGTCATACCTAGGCTTCACCACGGGAAATCTGATGAAAGGAGAGCAAAGAGCTTCAGCAGGTGGGAATGACTTTGAAAGCTGAGCATGGGCTTCATCCCTCCCACCCACATGGACAACGTAGATATTGCCATCTGAGCTTTCTATGTAGTGAAAAGAAACATCTACTTCTAGAGTCAAGTTTACCTGACCTCAGTTTGACTTTTATTTTAGGATGTGATTCATCATACCCTCATCTCAGCTGACCAGAGATGGAACCTGAGGTGATGAGACACCTTGTAGACATCTATTTTTTGCAGATGAACCCGACCCTTTCTTATGACAGGGCATAATCCCACCATTGTCCTTTGTAAAATGTCTTTTGTTCAGAGATGGGAGTGATAAGTCACAACAGGAGGAACCAGAAGTGGTTTGCTGCAAAATTACGGTGAGATAGGATGTCTACTGCTGACCTTCTTCCTGAGAAGCTACCTCTGCTCTGGCTCTGGTGCCAGGGCTGAGAGCTTCCCAAGACACGTTGAACTGTGGCTTTGCTACCTCTGGGCTGTCAGTTTGATGACACAGATGTTACAGCACAGTGATACCTCCATGGGTCACACAGAGAGAAAGTCCAAGTGGAAAAATCAGCCAGTTGCACATTGTGGTGGGAGAAGTTACATGCAAGCACTGATGTGCCTTGTGCTGGGAGGAGTTTCCAGAGCCATACGCTCCAGGGGCCATCAGGAGAATGTTAAAAGTAGTAGTTGTAGATGGGAACCAAAAGATCAACCTTGATTTTAACTGCCCTGGGGAACAGCTGTTTCTTAGCTCTGGGACTGGGAAGTCCCTCTGGGACAGTGGATGGAGAGGGAGTGGGAAGGAATGGGAAGAGGCTGTGGCGGGTGAGGAAAGGGAGGGGAGGTGGTGTCCCACAGTAGGGTGGAAAATCCCCCCTGAAAAATGTGTGGAGTTGAACAGAGAGGACAGAGGCACGAAGGCTGGTGATACTCACAAACTGTGATTTATCTGCTGGAGGTGCTTCAGTGATGGATTTCAAGTCTTCCTCTGAGATCCGTTCCATCTCCTCCAAAGCCGACCCCGAGTACAAGACCGCGTCCTTCACGAAGATGCTCATGGCCCTCAGCATGAAGGAGACAAACAGGTGCATGTGGATGTAGTTTCTAGTGCAGTGCAAACGTCTGGAGGAGGAGACAGAGAAGAGTTGGAGTAGTTTAGCCCTTCTGTTGGATGGACACAGGATCACCACTGCTTCTGAAAAGTCCCAGCTCCTCTCATCAGCACTGTGCCACCATGGGGTGTGTGCAGTGAGAGTGCATCCAGTGTGCAGTGTATGTGTGTGGTGACCACCTCCGTGGTGTTCAGCGCCCATGCAACGGGTGTCCATCAGACACGCAGTTATTTTCCAAGGTGCACAGACAGAAGGCAGGACACATGCACTGATACTAAAGTGTGTACCCTTGTGTGTGTCCCTTTCACCGGTAGATCCATCCCTCCAACAAATGTTGCCCATCTCAAAGCAAAACCCTGCATTTATCTGCATTTGCACAGAGGAAATGGGCTACAAAAGCCCCATGGTCACTAAAAACCTTGCAGAGGTTCTTGTAAACTGCTAATCTTTGTCCTCACTCCAAATTTAGTAGCAACCATAGCGGTAACTACAGTCTGCTGGGCTGTTTTCTCTGCCATTAGAGACACTGTCCTTTGCTTGGTCACCTTGAGCAGTTTCTGGGCTCCACCCCAGCAATGGCAGCAATGACCCCACAAATGCTGATTGTAAAGCGCTTTAAGATCCTTTTTTGGGCGAAAAGCTGGATGGTAAGAAGTGAATGGGTTAGACTCATATCTACGAGGTGTGTTTCAGAAACAGTGATCATGCCTTTGGGGAGAAGAAGCAACTACCTGACTGTTGGAGTCCCTTTCTGTCCTCTCTAGCTCTGTCGCCTGGCGAGCCATGCATGAATTTATGGATGGATTTATACTCTCTTAAATCCCCAGCTCCAATAATGGAAATAAAAAATATAAGCTGTGGGTTTTCTTCTCCTTTGGAGGAGATCGTGACAGTAATAACTGTTGTTTCCTGTGCTATTATAATACAAATTACGCCAAGTGGAACTGCTGAGGTATAAATTTAGATGAGCTTTGGTGCCTGCAGTGAATCCAGTGAATCTCTGGATTATGTGTTATCTGGAATTTCAAAATGTAGTCAGTGAATCTCTGGATTATGTGTTATCTGGAATAAAATCTGGCTTGGTCCCCACTGCTGCTTTGATCTTTGGGGCAAAGACGCCCTACCACAGTCGCCCATGTTGTCTGGGCTGTAAGTGAAGTGCTCTGACTACCTGAAGAAAGAGAGAGGACGTCTACTGAAACTAGGAGTCTTCTTGCATTGACGGATATTAAGTATTTTAACAGCCTTGCCGGTGTCCAGTGGGAAATGAAACAGGAGGGAAAGGGTTGAGAGGACAGGGGAGTGGTGACAGGGATGGCTTCTGGGACTACATCATGTGAAGTGCCTCCAGGAGGGGTCTGCAGTCCCCTTTGGCTTGTGTGTGTCACAGATTTGGGTGCTGGGATGCTCTGTTATCCAGGCAAATCCCACTGACCTCCTTTTGCTCACTGCAGAGAGGTCTGAGCACTTTTAGAACTGAAGGACACACATTTTATTCCCAGTGGTGTGTGTCTGGAGTTTATCTCAAGCTCGCATGGTGGGAGATGCTAAGTCCAACTCTAGACACTACACATTTCTGTGTAGAGAATTTCCTTCCACTATGAACCACCAAAGGGAAGCAAATCTGGAGCTCAGGGATCAGGGCTCAGCACTCTGCTCTATCTGCACCTCACCAGGTATGGTTTCCCCAAGGACAAACTTCTAGCTGTGAGTGACACCTTCTATCCCTCCCCTCCCCTGGTCTCTACAGCAGAGAGGAAATGCAACATCCAGGTCTGAGGAATGGATGGCAAGGGTTCCAAATGGCATTTAGGGGTCTATATCCCTCAGCCAGGGTGGTGGAAAGTGAAGGCAGACAACCAGATTTAGGAGGGTGAGGGTCATTTTGGGACCCCTAGGCACAGCAGAAGCATGGGGAGATTGGAGAAGTCAGTATGACACTTTAACATGGTTTTGGTCGCCTTCAACTGGTCTATCCTTTATGAATATTTGAGTTTAGAGTGGAATTTCCCTGAGGAAACCTTAGCTATCTAAAAGTTAGCCATCTAAATCTAAGCCAATGATCTCAAGGGGTAAGTAATAGGGACAGAAAACCCTAGATAGTCTTCCAAGGGAGGGAAACATCTTCCTGGAGGTGTCTCTCTTCCCCTTTGCTACAAAGAGGGTGTAGAAAACTCCATTGCAGGCAAGCGGAAGAAGTTCAGACATCCCACCCGCCATCCCCCAAGAGGTTTGACCTAAGTGTCACTAACACAGCCCAAAGCAGAGGTGTAACATCTCGTGGCTTGCTGAAGAAGCACATGCCACCCCAAGTTTTATCCTTTAGGAAAGCCCGAGGCTTTTCCAGTCTAATGACAACTTGCTTAGGTAGAAACAGAGCCGCCTACCTGAAGTATCCCAGGATAAGGACAGCAACTGTGAGGGATCCCAGAGAGATGGAGTATCCAACAGTATAAATCAAATAGAGGCGATCAAAGACCTCCTGCAGTACAAATGATGGAAAAAATAGCGTCACATTAGAACGCGTCCTACTGTAACACAACCGTGGTAGCAGCACAGAGATTCAGGCCATCATATCTGCTCTGGGCCTGGGGAACCTTTGGCAGTCACACTTGTTGTCCCCTTTTTGCTTGGAAAAAGGTATTCATCCTTCCTAAGGAATGGGGCGAGTTGGGATTTTTGCAAGGGACTGGTGATGGAGTTGGGTTATTCCCATGCCTGGGAGTTTTGCAGCATTTTCATCCCAAAGGAACCCAAAGCGCTTTACAAACTCTCAGCCAAATCCAGAGATCACTTTTGCTTCAACAAAATGCCTGCTGACCCGGGATTTTTGCTGGAACGGTAAAATTTAACCATAAGGCTATGCCATACCATTGCTGAATGACTGATGTCCAGGTTGATGGAGCATCAACCCACCACAGAAGACATGGGGAGGATATACTTTGGCTGCAGGATATGAGAAGAAATCACCTGCATTTATTTTTCATTGTTAAAATCAAAATCAGCCTATGACTGTAGTTATCCAACCCAGACACAACTTTAGCTTGCCAAAGTCCCATTGGAAAACGTCCTGTCACAGGAGAGCTCTTAGTAATTAGGTTTTAGTTCTCTTGGACCTCTATGTTTTAGAGTTGGGCTTAGAAACCCTGAGCTTTCCATTAAATAGTGAGATGCTTTTCTTCATCCTGTGCTGGGGCACACAGCTTAACTCAGGGATCACTGAATGTCTGCCTGAAAAGGGTTAAAATGCCTGCCACCATCCTAGCTTCTACTGCCTTTCAACGTCTGAAATTAGAAATAAACCCTGAAGAAACCAACCGATTCAGCATCTTTCTCCTGGCTCCCTCCTCCCCTGCCTCCCGCCTTTCCCTCACCCCACCCGCTGGGTTGCAATAACATTAGTAACGCTGGGCTCTGAATGACAGCTCTGATTTTGATTTGAGGGCTAGAAATGCTGTCCTGGAATGTGAAACCTCAGCCCTATTACATCAGAATCCCCAGATATGTGAATGTTTCTCTGCGGTTTCCATCGGTCGAGCGGCGCGCTTGCCAATATTAATGTAGCGTGTGTGTATGTGCGTATTTATATATATCTCTCTGTATATCTGTGGGGGCAGCAGGCACTAAAAAGCCAATGTGAGCAGATTTGAGAGGTTTTTTTTGGGGAAAAAAATAAGCTCCTTCCCTTCAAAGCTTGGTGCGTTCTTCCCACTGCCAAGCTGGAATTCTCTTTGAGCCCGAAAACATTTGCCTCCATGGTAAAAATTAAAAAAAAAAAAAAAAAGAATTAAAAATTCTACTCCAAGTTTAGGATTCATGGTAATTCGGCAGTTGTGAGGCGTTACTATGCTCAGCCTGAACAAAAGCCTCCCTGAGCCCCATTCAGAAATTTCACCGGAAAGATCCACGTTCCTATCGGACAACGACACCGTTGTAGTAGCAATGGCCTTGGGAAGGGCCTGCTCATTGGCTGGCAGGACATTTTCGGAGGCTGTGGTTAATTCCTCTGATTAACCACAGGGCCTCTTTTTGAAAGGATGTTGAGTCAGAACTGCCAAGACATACACATGCATGCATGCATGCACGCTGGTGTGCTCGTTTGCAGACAGAGGTGCCACAAATCTTACCCACTGTCACCATGGGATTCAGGGAAGGTAATTTTTTTTTTTTGGTATGGGGTGCTTAGGTCCTTTGGGGAAAGCCTCAGGAGCAAAAGGTTGAGATTCTCCAAAAGGCTCCATGGGGCAGCCCGTGGAAGGGCAGCTCATTCTCGTTAGTTCCCAGGAGTGTTTGTCCTCAGGAATGGTGAGACCTGGATTTACCCAGGAGGAAAAAAAAAAGCTCAAAAGGCAATTCCAGGTAGCAAAAGGTTGAGATTCTCCAAAAGGCTCCACAGGGCAGCCCGTGGAAGGGCAGCTCATTCTCGTTAGTTCCCAGGAGTGTTTGTCCTCAGGAATGGTGAGACCTGGATTTACCCAGGAGGAAAAAAAAAAGCTCAAAAGGCAATTCCAGGTCTCACTCATCTCCTAGCACAAGGGAGGTCCCAGCTCAGTGGAAACCGCAATGCTGAATCAGGAAAGGTCCTCCAGGTAACAAAATATTGAGTCATCCACCAGCTGAAACAACCACCTCTGTGGTCTGAGAATCCTCTTTCTGGAGCTGAGATGGATGGGAGTTTAAATAATTCACAGAAGACCACAAAGGTCATGCGTGGCCAAGCCATGGACACAACCTGGATGTCCATAGTCTCAATGCAGTGCACTACTCACTAGACCATCCCTTCACAGCAGGAGCTCCCCCTAATATCTCTTACAGATCCACCCTGAAGATGGACTGACCATCACTGGTCATCCACTGACCTGCTGGAAGAGGCAAACCACCCTGTAAAAACCTGGCCACGCCATGAGACCCTGCTTTAAAAGGTGTGATATTTCAACCAGTGTCATTTAATTTGAATCCTGTAGTAATTCTTCAGAGTTTCAACTGTTGACATACACACTGAAAAAAAGAAAATCTGAAAAAAAGCTAAAGGACAACCAGAAGGACGAAACCTCATTATCTAAGATTCCAGGGGCTGGGATTATCAGCAAAATATTGTAAAAGTCACAATACAGTGCCAAGATTAGGGAACATCAGTCTCAAAACTGGCATCCTTGCATGTTGCCCTCTGCCTACTCCATCTCATGCCCTGCTAGGATGAGATAATGATGGGGAAGGTGTGGGATGGGTCTGATCCCCATCTCTTAGAGCTTTCCTGTGCTTCTTGCATCTGCCATCTCCCTAAGGAGTACCCAATTTATCCCCCACCCCTGCTAACAGGGCAGGCAGAAGAATGACCTGGAGGCCTTCCTTTCACTTGGTTGAGTCAGTCATGGTTGCTCCTGGAGGGTTCTGGGCAGGATGAGGCCCCCCTGATGTGGCTGAGCTGGCTTGGAGGTTGGTGAAATGACTTCCCATCAAGTCACGCACCGTGTATCCTCTCCAGGACATGCTCCATGGTGCTCTCAGGCATTGCACTGCCCCACTTGCCCTCCTCTTCTCTGGTTCACACATTGCAGACCTCCCACCAAACCACAGACAACTATCTTGTATAACCAGGTGAAGTGATCTTTCTGCAGTGAGCTAGTCCACCTGATCCTGCCTTCCCGACCTCACTCCAGCCATAACTCAGAGACTGACAATACATCGAACCATGAAAAATATAAGTACTATTTCAGCTGTGCTGCATGCTGAACCTGTAACAAGATCTCCCTTTCCCCCTCCCTCTTGGTTTGGTGGGAGAACTTCCTCTCTGCTCCCTTTTGCATCTCAGCTTTCCACCAGCCCGACCTCTGGGTAGAAACTTCACAGCAGCCCGGTGGCTTTGGGAGAAGGGGAAACCAAAACAGTGCTGGAGGTGGCTTCTGCATGAACTCAGAGAGTGCGTGTTAAAAACAAAATAAACACAACCCAGCCACCACGGGTATCCACCGGCTGGATGTGCACCCCTCCCATGAGGGTCCCCGCATTCCCCGCTCCCTGTGGTTTGGACATCTTCCAGGTGTGTGACCCTCAGGGCAGTTGGCTGTTACATTTTCATACTGTGCTTAGGGCTTAACCGGACTCCTAATTTGTCCGCTTCCACCAACGGGGAGATCATTTGCATTGAGGTGGATCCAGAGGAAAACTGCCTTTCCCTGCAGAACAGCTCAGAGCTGCATCAGAGCATCAGATGAGGGGTTTTGAGGCCCCATCCATTGCGAAACCACAGCCGTGCTTTTATTCTTGCATTGCAAGCAGCTGTAGGACAGTCTGTGTGAAGAGCATTTCTGCTCCCCCAAATTCTACTATACGTACATGAAGTTTGCCATAGTGGAGGTGTGGTAATCTAATATAGATGACTATGGTGTGGATAGCTCCATCAGAGCTGGCCACCTGAGATCCCAGCAGCAGTAAGAAAGAGGTGCTTTAGGCTGCAATTCATGGAATCATAGAACCATAGAATTGTCTGGGTTGGAAGAGACCTTTCAGATGATCTAGTCCAACCATCAACCAAACACTGACAAAACCACCACTAACCCATGTCCCTCAGCATGAGTCTACCTGTCCTTTAAACACCTTCAGGGATGGTGACTCCACTACTGCCCTGGGCAGCCTCTTCCAATGCTTAAAAACCCTTTCAGTGCAGAAATGTTTCCTAATATCCATCCTAAACCTCCCTTGGCACAACTTGAGGCCATTTCCTCTCACCTTATTGCCTGTTCCTTGGGGGAAGAGACTGACCCCCCCCGGCTACACCCTCCTTTCGGGGAGCTGTAGAGAGTGAAAAAGTCTCCCCTCAGCCTCCTTTTCTCCAGGCTGAACACCCCCAGCTCCCTCAACCGCTCCTCACAAGACTTGTGCTCCAGACCCCTCACCAGCTCCGTTGCCCTTCTCTGAACATGCTCCAGCATTTTAATCATAGGATGGTGCCCTCACCCATCAGCTGCATTGACTGGTTTGTCACAAGAGGAGTCCAGGATGACTAGCTCAAATAGAGATGTATACATTTATATAGCAAGTCCCTTCCATTTGAGTCTCAGGTAAGAGGTTCTGCTACCCTTATGATTCATTTCAGTTGTCCTTCCATGTGTTTCATCTCATTTTAGACACCCAAGTGTCCTGTCTGGCTTCAAGGTGCTTTTACAGAAGGGAATGAGTTTTCTGTAGGTCCATGTTGCATCTGCAATTCCCTTGCGGTTGTATCATATACCCTAGAACATCTCATTTAACTCTGGGCATAAACATAACCTATGTTTCATCAACTGGATGAAACCTTCAGGACTGTGGTGTTCATGTGTCCTTTTTCCATCCAGTATCACAGGGATGGATGTGGGTGATCAAGAGGTGTATTTTCTAGATGACTGGTGGCAAATTCCATTCTGAATATCGTTGCACCGTGCCCTGTATCCAGCTTTCTCCTTTCATCCTTTCCCTTTCCCCCTTTTATGAGACAACAGCAAG